TTAAGCCATTTGAACGTTTCCTTTTAGTTAAAAACCGAGTAAAGAACAACACTCGGAGATGTTTCTGCCGCTCTGCATACGTCATCTCCTTCATCGCTCTGATTGGGTTTAGGTCTATCCGCGACGTCCGTTGGTGACGCCCCTCTGGAAATAATTTGTCTATGACGCTTTGCCAGACCATAACTCAGTTACAACTGAGATGGTCTGGTTTTAACCAGACTAGCAATTCTGATTTTATATCTCGCAATTCTGACTTTATATCACGCAATTCTGACTTTATATCTCGCAATTCTGACTTTATATCTCGCAATTCTGACTTTACATCTCACAATTCTGACTTTATATCACGCAATTCTGACTTTATATCACGCAATTCTGACTTTATATCACGCAATTCTGACTTTATATCTCGCAATTCTGACTTTATATCACGCAATTCTGACTTTATATCACGCAATTCTGACTTTATATCACGCAATTCTGACTTTATATCTCGCAATTCTGACTTTACATCTCGCAATTCTGACTTTACATCTCGCAATTCTGACTTTAGATCTCTCAATTCTGACTTTATATCACGCAATTCTAACTTTATATCTCGCAATTCTGACTTTATATCACGCAATTCTGACTTTATATCACGCAATTCTGACTTTATATCACGCAATTCTGACTTTATATCTCGCAATTCTGATTTTATATCACGCAATTCTGACTTTATATCTCGCAATTCTGACTTTATATCACGCAATTCTGACTTTATATCACGCAATTCTGACTTTATATCACGCAATTCTGACTTTATATCTCGCAATTCTGATTTTATATCACACAATTCTCACTTTAGATCTCGCAATTCTCACTTTAGATCTCGCAATTCTGACTTTATATCACGCAATTCTAACTTTATATCTCACAATTCTGACTTTACATCTCGCAATTCTGACTTTACATCTCGCAATTCTGACTTTATATCACGCAATTCTGACTTTATATCTCGCAATTCTGACTTTACATCTCGCAATTCTGACTTTATATCACGCAATTCTGACTTTATATCTCGCAATTCTAACTTTATATCTCGCAATTCTGACTTTATATCTCGCAATTCTGACTTTACATCTCGCAATTCTGACTTTACATCTCGCAATTCTGACTTTATATCTCGCAATTCTAACTTTATATCACGCAATTCTGACTTTATATCTCGCAATTCTGACTTTACATCACGCAATTCTGACTTTATATCACGCAATTCTAACTTTATATCTCGCAATTCTGACTTTATATCACGCAATTCTGACTTTATATCACGCAATTCTGACTTTATATCTCGCAATTCTGACTTTATATCTCGCAATTCTGACTTTATATCACGCAATTCTGACTTTATATCACGCAATTCTGACTTTATATCTCGCAATTCTGACTTTATATCTCGCAATTCTGACTTTATATCACGCAATTCTGACTTTATATCACGCAATTCTGACTTTACATCTCGCAATTCTGACTTTACATCTCGCAATTCTGACTTTATATCACGCAATTCTGACTTTATATCACGCAATTCTGACTTTACATCACGCAATTCTGACTTAAGATCTCGCAATTCTGACTTTATATCACGCAATTCTAACTTTATATCTCGCAATTCTGACTTTATATCTCGCAATTCTGACTTTATATCTCACAAGTCTGACTTTATATCTCGCAATTCTGACTTTATATCACGCAATTCTGAGAAATAAAGTCAGAATTGCGAGATGTAAACTTGCAATTGTGAGAAAAAAAGTCAGAATTGTGAGATAAAAAGTCGCAATTACCTTTTTTATTTTTCATTCAGTGGCGGAAACAAGCTTCCATACTTTTTAGACTAAAGATATCCTGAACTTAATAGGTACTAGTACTTTTACATTTACATTTCTGCTCAGTATGCTAATACTCAAAGGGCATCCTCTTAAATATACATTCACAAACTCTAAAACAGTTTTTAGTATTCAGAAAGCTGAAACATATATTTTGAGGCCTATTTAACAGCAAAGGGGCTTTTATTTTGACATGACTTATGATGCAGATGCAGATTAATATTTTTTTATTATTATTTAAAGTAGGCCTAATTATAAATACTCTACAAAAAGGCACAACCTTCTGTGGTGGATGTCCTGTATTGTGCTTGTTTGGCTGGTGTGGTTTAACTGGTTTCTAGATCTACTTACTGCCAATAATCAAACATAAAACAATCAAGTTTGTATGATGTTCATCCAAAAAAAAAAAAAAAAGAGAGTTTGAGGGCGATTTCACTGTTTTATATGGTTTGACTGTAACATACATGGATTTAATAAAATGATAAATGGAAAAGAAAACGTCGACAGTCTCAGTGAGTTTAATTCATACATTTATAGTTTGAGTGTTGTAATTTTATGATGCAAGTTTAGCACTGCTGCAGATCATTTTACAGTTTCCCTGCATTATGTTGACTAATAGGGACAAGATTGTACAAAAGGCTAAGCTTTAATGACGCTGGTGCCCTCTGCTGGACATTTATTTTGTTGCACTTTAGGATATACGTATTATTTCTGAATCACCTGACTATCATTTCTGCTATTTCATTGGTTTAGATCAGGAGAACTGAATGTCAATAAAAGATCGTTCATGCCCAGACATGTAACTGTTGCTAAAGTTTGCGGCAGTTTTGTGGTGATCTCCGTGCCGATTTGGTTCAATTTCTAGCGGATTTTTGTTCATACTGTGTGCGTACATCTTAAAAGTAAGTAGTTAAATACTCTTTCATGTATATATTGGTAGATTTATTTGCTGCTATGTTATATTGTAATACTAAACGTTCGTTTATTTCTTTGAGGTAATCAATGCGCACGTAAGATCGATCGCACATTCATTTCAGCATAAAACACGCTGAATTAGACTTTGAATGTTACCTTTTGAATATTATGTGTAAATATTTAATTCGGTTTCATCTGATAGGTTATTTACTGTGAATGTGTATAAACCTGAGGAAATTTACAGCTGCTGGACTAGTAAAAATATGTCCTTATCTTTATGCTATTGCATATCTTTTATATTGTCCAGTTAATACTGTTTCTGCCTCATTGTACCTATATTCATTATTGTTATTATTGTTTATTTATAGAACCACACCCATACTGATGTATGAATCGAAAGACAACAGTAAAAACTTTATTGTGGACATGGACCCAGTGATTTATTGTTCTGCCTAAACAATCTGTAGCGGTTGTCATCTAGTTTAAGATCCGCACCTCAACAACTTTCATACAAAGATAATAGATTATTTGTCGAATTCGAATGATGTTTATGATGTTAATTTATGACAGTATGAGTGAGTTTAATTTGTTGATTGATCGATCGTTAATCTAGTAGATGTTTTAATCCACTGAACACTGCTGTGGTAATATATAACACTCTCCCAACAGCATACTGTTTCTTTTGAGCCTAATTCCTAGTCAAATTAAAATGATATAGTTGTATATATCACTTGTAAGTCCCCTCCAAATACTCTAAATATGTGAAATATATCAACTTTTATCTGAAGGAGTGTAGATTTCCCCCTACAGGTGTTCATGTTGTTTTTAAATGCTGAGCTAAACAAAAAATGTATGTAAAGTCACCAGATCTAAATATTCACAACAAACACACTTTCAACATGAAACCAAGAAATGAGACCTAGGCCTACACTTTCCCTGCCTCTCAAATGTTTTTAGGGTTAAACGCCCCTTTTGAGGTTAAGCGTTTTGATTACTTCCAGAAGTGTGATAATTGCATGATTCTAAAAGTTTCAGCACTTTACTTACTTTTACTCATTGTTTTATGTTTTCTATCACCTGCCGCTTGATTAGTTCATTAGTTATGCTTTATATATGCTTTATTCTTCTACTGTTGTTTGTTTAGCACACTGTTACAAGTGTTTTTGCTTCAGTGGATTATCTTACATATTATAATATCAACCAGAACGTGACAGAAATATTATATAAAAAAACATAATTTTTGTAAACATAGGAAGAAAAACAGTACAAATTCTTTAAAAATACATATCAACAAAACAATACTCTTAAAAACTCTTCTATAAAAGTGCTTTAATTGGTTTAGTTTTTCAGAACACACTCTTTCAAAGCAGATTCAGTGCAAATACAATATTAAGCCGGTAACAAAAGCAACAAGAGTAAAGTAAAAACTCTAGATGATGAAGACACTTTAGAAGAAGCAAGAAACTGCCTCAGGCCGAACTAAATATAAATATATTTAACCATATATATTAAAAATCTTTACAGATACAATACAGTACAGTGCTTCAAATCAGCTTTACAGTGATAAACAGGAAATAATGACCAGTGGTTTCTGCAGTAAAGCAGCTCTACAGAAGACAATAGTCATTGTTCAGTCAAAGTTGAATCAGCTAAATCAGCTCTACAGTCATTATTCAGCTCAGATCAGTTTACGTTTTTTTATAGTGCAATCAAAGCAATAATATTACTGAATATGCTGTATATAAAGTATACATAAGAACATACACATTTTCTGTCTTTCAGAGTTTAGAATAGATATGCTTGCTCACTGTTTATACTGTGAATACTTCCCTGATTTGTTTAGAAAACAGTAGTTGATGGATTCAATAGAAACAAGTATTCCTAAGTTTATGTGACCTTTCAGGTTTCCAGTCCTGGTCTTTATCTAGGTCACTTTAACTAAATGCAGACGGTCAACAAACAGAACATTGGTGTAGGAGTGCAGTCCAAATGTTCATATGTGTTTTAAATCAAACACATATTGCCAAAATCCTCTGCAGATCTGTTGGCTCTGAAGGAAAATTACAAGTAACCAGTGACATCACTAGATGTTCTGAGATATATCCAGTTGCAGAATCACAGCAGTTTCAGAACCACAGCCTCAGGATGGAAGTGAGAGGCGGAGCTTATACAGGTCATATAGACTTGTGCTATACATGCACTTCCACACCTCACTTTCATACACTTCCATCCTGAGGCTGCGGTTCTAGCGCCGCTGGTCTGAAACTGCTGTGATTCTGCAACTGGACACTATGTACAGTTTATTTGATTGCAACCCTTTAGGAGGATTCATCATACATAACTACAAGTGTAATCAGAGTCAGAACCAGCAGAACCGCATACACAATCATTCCACCACTCGAAATCCAATACCATACACCTGGAAATAGAGAAGGTGGGAAGAAAGCACAATTTTTCTTTGTTAAACTCACTGCTTAAAAAAACTGTAAAGCTTTTAGTAATGGGATACATTTTTCATCAAAAGTATTGCAGTCACGGATCAAAAATTAATATGTGTGAATCAAAAATGTAAAAACACGTGTAAATAAATATTGCACAAAACTGAAAAACAAACAATGTGGTCATGGATTGAAAAAATGTGAATCAAACATTTAAAATGCATTTAAAAAATAAGCATAAATCAAAACTTTAAACACATTTAAAATTATATTACACAAAACTGCAACATGAAGGCACAGTTATTTTGAAGTTTTCAGTAACATGACTGAACATTTATCTGCATCTAGGACTAATTCTATCGCTTACTGCATGTTTAAGCCTAGTCTCAGACTAAAATCCATGTTTGAGCAGTTTTAACTGAAGGCATTTCTTAAAAAATGTCAGTGTCATTGTTTTGTCTCAAGATTCAAACTAGTAATGTTTTTTTCTAAGGCACGTTTATAAAAGCTGTCCTAATTTATAAAAAGTCACGTTTATAAAAAATGTCCAAATTGAAGTAAGTCTAATACAGGCTTAATCTAAAACCTGTCTGTGAAACCAGGCCATAGTGTCTTAAAGGGATAGTTCACCCAAAAATTTATATTCTGTCAGTAATTACTCTCCCACAATACTTTTGGCAAGAAATAAATCCATACTATTGTCTCCTGTTTTACTTACTAATTTGTTCAGTGTCATCATCTGTGTTGTCCAGTTTTCCCTTGGATTCTGTCCTAGATTCTGTAGATGATATTGAAAGGTTTGTCACAATGTTATGCATCAAGTTGCTGTTCAAATCATGATGAATAAACCTCAGCTGTCCGCTTTATAAATAATATTTCAACATATCCACTGATCTTCTCTCACCTGTGACTGTGACTGTGATCAAGGCTTCATTATTAGAGTCCAGAGCTCTGTATGTTCCAGTGTCAGTGACTGTAAAGTCATGAATGATCAGAGTCTGGTCACTGACGGTCAGTCGATCACTGCTGACCCCGTGACCTCTGACCCCGTGACCTCTCCTCCACACCTCTGTCCAGCCGGAGCGAGAGTTTCTCTCCACTTTATCAGCGTTGATCAACAGAACATCCAACTTCAGATCCTCTCCTTTCTTCACTGAGATCTCATCTGAGGAGACACACACACACATTCAGCATTAATCATTATTATAATGTTTCAATCAATCCAAAACATTAGCACATATTAGGGGACAAAAAAAGTAACCATTTTAAAAATCAACCAATGAAACATCTATATTGGGATCCACTAATCTGAATATTAGGCAGGACGTGTCAAATTCAGTCTCTGCTGGTTACAGTCTAACATTATTACTAGGGCTGTCACTAATAATTTTTTGGTAATCAAGTAATCTGATGATTATTTGAATGATTAATCAAGTAATGTCAGGTTTTGGGTAGGTGAAAGGAGAGAGGACTCAAGTGCAGGACAATGGGTATTTAATGATAATAAAAATAAAACAGACAACAAATACCACCCCAAAGGGGAAACAAGACAGACTAGAAACGACTTGACCGAACCACACAGTACATATGACGACGATCTGGCACAGGACTGCAAACACGAGGAGAATAAATAGGGAGCAAACAAGGCAGGAAATGAGGGAGGAAAGGTGGGGCAAATCAACCAATATTCAGATAACAAGGTGGGCGGGTTTGGACAATGACAGGAGAGCACAAAGAAACACATGACAAGCCATGTGCTCACACCAAACATGACTAGAACACGCAGCCAATGAGAACTCATAAGGCACGTGTTCCCACAAAACATGACAACATGAAAGCACACAGCTAGTATAAAACAAGCTGTGTACTTCACAGAACAAGACAAAACGTGACATGAAAGCACACGCCGATGTAAACACGAACCGCGTGCTACACAAAACACAACACACGTGGGCAGAAGAGCGATTAGCCCGAGTGAACTCGAGACCGCGCGCTCACACGACAAGACCGTGCGTAAGCTCATCCTGTGCGCTCACAACAGAGGATAAACACGCGGAGCATGAATGTCCGAATCCGACACAGAACCGAAACCAAATTAGACCGACGTGCCGGGACATCCCGCTCCGCACATGTAGGTAAGGCACACAGACAAGAGAGCGCACGGCTCAAGCGCGCTCACACAAGGACAAGACAAAGCAGGAGTGTCAGAGCTCTGTCACAAAACCAAGAAATAAACTTGACAGAAGTGACAGAACCCTGACAGTAATCTGATCTTTTATTTACACATGCAAATGATAACAGTGCAACACTTCGCCTGAAACATTGAGCGGTTCTTATATGCTTTACCAAATGCACATTATGGGAAACCCAAACAGCAAACAGACGGAGTTCATGAGCAGCGTTTACTGTGAATGAAGCGCTCTGAGATGCTGGAGGAAACCCATAACCCGCACACATGGAAATAATTAAAGCATCGCGCTTCATTCTGAAACCCGCAGGGTTTCCGTTTTTTAGGAAATCCTGAATGTAGGAAATCCTGAAGCACAAGCTGATGGTTTGATCAGTTTTGACTTTACCATGGATATGAAGATGATATTCCCTGATCTGTCGCTTCACTTCTCTCTGATCATTATTGTAATAGTACACAAGTAAAATGTATTTCCCAGCGTCACTGTAGATCAGATCATTGATGATGACGTCACATGATCCTTCTTTACACACTCGACCATTTTCACTCTTACATTCTTCATTCTCACAGACAAGGATGTTTTTTGAGAGTCTGCTTAATTTAACTACAGTAATCTCTCTGTCATCAGATTCACACGACAGTGTGACGTTTTCTCCTTTCTTTTCCGTCACATGTTTAAGATTGTTTCCTTCAGGAGGGGATTCTGCAAATACAGACAGAGTAAAATTAATTCAATACAAAGTATCAATCCAGAAAAATACATGTATTGTTTCTCTCTATTCTCTATAATCTATGTCATCATTAAATATTCTTATTTTAGTCAAATACATGTATATATATATATATATATATATATACAGGTCCTTCTCAAAAAATTAGCATATTGTGATAAAGTTCATTATTTTCCATAATGTAATGATACAAATTAAACTTTCATATATTTTAGATTCATTGCACACCAACTGAAATATTTCAGGTCTTTTATTGTTTTAATACTGATGATTTTGGCATACAGCTCATGAAAACCTAAAATTTCTGTCTAAAAAAATTAGCATATCATGAAAAGGGTCTCTAAACGAGCTATTAACCTAATCATCTGAATCAACTAATTAACTCTAAACACCTGCAAAAGATTCCTGAGGCTTTTAAAAACTCCCAGCCTGTTTCATTACTCAAAACCGCAATCATGGGTAAGACTGCCGACCTGACTGCTGTCCAGAAGGCCATCATTGACACCCTCAAGCAAGAGGGTAAGACAGAAAGAAATTTCTGAACAAATAGGCTGTTCCCAGAGTGCTGTATCAAGGCACCTCAGTGGGAAGTCTGTGGGAAGGAAAAAGTGTGGCAAAAAACGCTGCACAACGAGAAGAGGTGACTGGACCCTGAGGAAGATTGTGGAGAAGGACCGATTCCAGACCTTGGGGGACCTGCGGAAGCAGTGGACTGAGTCTGGAGTAGAAACATCCAGAGCCACCGTGCACAGGCGTGTGCAGGACATGGGCTACAGGTGCCGCATTCCCCAGGTCAAGCCACTTTTGAACCAGAAACAGCGGCAGAAGCGCCTGACCTGGGCTACAGAGAAGCAGCACTGGACTGTTGCTCAGTTTTGCATGTCATTCGGAAATCAAGGTGCCAGAGTCTGGAGGAAGACTGGGGAGAAGGAAATGCCAAAATGCCTGAAGTCCAGTGTCAAGTACCCACAGTCAGTGATGGTCTGGGGTGCCATGTCAGCTGGTGGTGTTGGTCCACTGTGTTTTATCAAGGGCAGGGTCAATGCAGCTAGCTATCAGGAGATTTTGGAGCACTTCATGCTTCCATCTGCTGAAAAGCTTTATGGAGATGAAGATTTCATTTTTCAGCAGGACCTGGCACCTGCTCACAGTGCCAAAACCACTGGTAAATGGTTTACTGACCATGGTATTACTGTGCTCAATTGGCCTGCCAACTCTCCTGACCTGAACCCCATAGAGAATCTGTGGGATATTGTGAAGAGAAAGTTGAGAGACGCAAGACCCAACACTCTGGATGAGCTTAAGGCCGCTATCGAAGCATCCTGGGCCTCCATAACACCTCAGCAGTGCCACAGGCTGATTGCCTCCATGCCACGCCGCATTGAAGCAGTCATTTCTGCAAAAGGATTCCCGACCAAGTATTGACTATTGAGTGCATAACTGAACATTAGAGGTCGACTGATTCATCGGTTTTGCCGATTAGTTGTTTGGTGGAACTATTGTTATCGGCAAAAATCCACACTGATAGTTTTTCCGGGTTGCGTCCGTTGCTGGAGCGGCTGAGAAGTGCGCGCGGTCATTACACAGCACGAGAGCGCTCAGAACAGAAGAGACTGCTGGCATTATACAGAGTGAGAGCGGCCTCTAGAGGACAAATAACAAACTATCACTGGCTGAGTTGTTTACGTTAAAGGCCAATTTATACTTCTGCGTCGGGTGCGCGCAGTAGGTACGGCGTAGCATACGCACAGACGCGTACCATACGCCGTACCCTTCGCCGTAACCTGACGCGCACCTCCTCAAAAATGTAACTACACGTCGCGACGACGCGGACCGCAAGATCTGTGATTGGTCGGCTTGGGAGCATCGCGTTTCCTCCTATGTATTTCCGGCGTGTTCTTCTGCACCGCCCGCCATTTTTAAATTCTAAGTACAGCGAAACTGTTAAAAAAACAAAAAAATTACCTTTTCCACCTCGATAAGCTCCAACTCCAACATGATCTGCTCTCTTTCAGTCGACATTGCTTGTAGTAACCTAAACTCAAAACAGCCGCGAGGAATCTTCTTCTTCTTGCCGCGAGGAATCTAAACACAGTGGAACATTAAAACCCTCCGCCGCCAACTAGCGTTTCGGCGCTGTACTGCAGAGCAACGCAGACCTAAACGCAGAAGTATAAATGCTCATGACGGCGTCGCCTACGTGCGTAGCGTACGCCGTACACTAGACGCAGAAGTATAAATTGGCCTTAACACGTGAGGCAGCGCGCAGCACGGAGAGAACACGCAGCGAGAGCGCTGACATTTAAAACACCGACAGCGAAACGGTATGAATACATATCACTAAAGTATAGCCATATCATTACAAATTAATTCATTTGTTGACTAGATGCTGCATCAGCAGAGAAAGAACAGTAGTTTGCCGTCAAGGCTGTGAGGACTCTAACATTACCTCAGTCAACCGTTAATGCAATGTGACAAAAACACACGCAGACCTGACCCAAATGTTTTATGGCGCAATTGTTACCATCTATTTGCATTATTTTTATACGGCTGGTCACTTTTATGCATTCATTAGCCGACGAAGTTGCATATTTAAAACTAGTGACGTGATTGCTTTCTCAACATTGATATGTTCATGCAGCCAACAGAAACGTAAACTAATCAGAAACGCGTTCGATTTAAGATCTTTTTAATCACTACAATAGATCTTGTTATTTTTGATTAGATAATCATCAAGTGTTCTTAAATATAGAAGCAAATAAAGTGAGAGACTATAGGCTACATTACGTATACATTAGGTCTTTATTACATTTTAATGGCCATCTTTAAGCACGACTCTTTGGAATCATATGAAATGGTAACACTTTACAATAACATTGCATTTTTAGCATTAAATAAGGTTAATACATGTTGTAGAAGAATTATTCATTGTTACGGTAGTTTGTTAATTTCAACATTTACTAATGCATTTGAGATGGAGTTTTAATTCTTACTTTTTCTTTTATTACCTTAGTTAATGTACTATGAATGAACTAACATGAATGATAAAGGTACAATTGTATTGCTCATATTAATACATGCAGTAAAAAGGTATATTGCATTATGCATATATTTCCTGAAAGCTAGTTAATACATCCTTGTTTACAAATGGGACTTGGGGCAAAGTGTTACCTATGAAATGTACGTATGTTTCTAGGTTATAGTTAACGAAACCTGTAATATTTTAATGTTTAAATTATTTTCTGTATAAAGTTTTAATATATTCATATTTATTTATTTAATTGAGCACATTTCAGTTTAGCACTGTTTTATTGTGAGTATGATGTTTGTTTTTAATCCAGTATCCATTAAAAAAAATATCGGTTGAATTATCGGTTATCGGCATGTACGGTCAAACCTAGATATCGGTATCGGTAAAATCCACTATCGGTCGACCTCTACTGAACATAATTATTTGAAGGTTGACTTTTTTTTTTGTATTAAACACTTCTTTTATTGGTCGGATGAAATATGCTAATTTTTTGAGACAGGAATTTTGGGTTTTCATGAGCTGTATGCCAAAATCATCAGTATTAAAACAATAAAAGACCTGAAATATTTCAGTTGGTGTGCAATGAATCTAAAATATATGAAAGTTTCATTTTTATCATTACATTATGGAAAATAATGAACTTTATCACAATATGCTAATTTTTTTAGAAGGACCTGTATGTAATAAGGAGCCAACAATATTAGCTGTGCCACATTTTACCATTTCAAATGATGTCAGTGCAGATGTTGTGAATTCCTGAACATGTTTATTAATAAATGAACTGCATAGAGAAGTAGTTATGGTGTGTGATAATGTATAATGATAAATTTCCATCATTAATCCACAAATGTCAAGCAAAGTCAATTGGTGCAAAAGAGAAACAATCGAGAATAACTAGATAAACCTGGACTTGAAAATAAAACATTGTTATAATATGTGAACAAAAATGGTACTGACCGCTATAATTGATAAAGCAAAACAGCAGAAGCAGCAGAGTATACGAATACCTGAGAAAACAGAAGAGCGGGTTTATGTCACAGATTCAGGCTAATAATCACAAACATATTTATACAGGGAAAAAACACTTTCTTGAGAGGTAAAATATTATTACACATTCCTTTTCATTTAGTCTGAATATTTAACACATGTGCATATGATAAAAATGTGTAATACTGAAAATGATCAGTCAAACTGAAAGAAACAACAGGCGTTTGGAAATTTGGTGATAATCTAAGAATGATATTAGTAACCCCAATAATAAAAACCATCATAATCATGATCAATATCATCATCATGATCTCAGTAGTGGATACCTTCAGCAAACATGTCGGCTGCGTTCAGCGCTGACAAAACGTTGCAGAACGTTTTTTAAACAGAAACGGTGACGCGTTGAACACACTGTTGTGATGACGCAAGAGTTGCAACTACGGCAGCTGAGAAGGCTTTTTGTGTTCTTTGTGAAGAATTTTCGGAGCCTGATGAAGTCGGTATAAATATGTGTTTAATACTACAAAATATGCCCGATGTTACAGTTACTGCACTTGCCGCCCAGAACACAAGAGAACATCCCAATCGAGTGAAGGGATTTGTGGAAACTGAAACGGAAGCACATCTTACCTAATAAAGACTAAAACACATCTATTTAGCCTCACATACTGACTTTATTTGTTGTTCATACTGTGTTATTAATACCCTGTATTTTCTTTCTCATTTTTAGGAAAAGCACTTTACATGCATTGTTTATTTCTATACCAAATGTCATACACTTGCAATGAAGCTAAAAATATAAACAACTACATCATTATGTTGATATCCTATATTTTTACAATAATACTTACGACAAACATGTCTTCTAATATCCTCAGTTGTTGCATATCGAACACATTTGTAAATTACTCCCATTGTGCGAGTTCACTTTAATACCGTGTGCTTTATACACATGTTGCTGCTGATTGGACTGCAGTTCTGACACGCCCACCAAACAAGAGAAAACGCATCTCAAACCCCGTTGCACACCGGTGCACGCCGATTCCAGGAAACATGACGTTCAACCTGGAAACCGTAGCAAAACGTTGCGCACCGTTGTGATCTTGAACGTGCCCGTCGACTTATTTCCTTAGCATCTTTAGCAGGATTAGCTTTCCACAAACAGAAACACAACTATTGGTTTAATCACACAAAAACACACAGACTGGATTTATATTTAAAAACATGAACACTTACATAGTAAAACTTCGACATGAGTCTTTTGTTCAGGCGTCAAAACTTAAATTACTGCATGTAGCGAGTGGTGAGACCGAGAGGAAAAATACAAAACTGAAAGTAAATTCCTGAAAATCATCATGTGACTTCCTTGAATCCTGAATCCTGAATCTGGATTGGAGCCTCGTGTCACGTGACTGACTCTGTCCTCTCCACTAGGGGGCGGAGATCTCTGAACCAGTTCCTTTTTTCTTTTTTATAACATTATGGGAATAAAAAGTCATACAAAAAACTTAAATCTATAACAAAAACAGAATCTTATAACAAAATTCTGCATCTTATATCAAAATTCAATCATACATCTAATACATCAAGTATCCTTTTCAACAGCTCCCATAAACCAGTTCATCAGTTTCAAGTTTTATTTGTAAAACAGTACAGAACATATTAGACACATTTGTATAATAAAAACTAAGCTCTTGAGTTAATAATATTTTATTTAAAGCTCTTCATTAAACAAGCCCTACAATTTAATAAAATACATATTTTACAGAAACTTCATATTTAATGGTATTATATGATTTGTTAAATGCATTTAATAGATTTCACTTTCAATAAAACATTTGTGATTGGTGGTAAATGTGTTTGCATGTTTTGACTGAGTTTTTGCTGCATTTACAGTTTCTGGAAGATTTTTGTTCAGTTTCTCCCGTCACTAATCAACAGTTTCCCACAAAGATGAGCGTTTCAAGAAAAAATAAAATAATATTTGGGCATTATTTATAGTATGATTGGTCATTATTTTCTTCTACTGGATATTATTTCAAAGCAGATTGAGCTGTCAAACAATGTATATAATACAGCATGATGTTCAGTGACTGATAAATTATTTATTTAATAAAGGCAATCATTCGCAAATTTATTTATTTCCAAGGATAGCCCCTTGAGATGAACCATCTCATTTTCAAGGGGGTCCCTATACAATACAAAGAGACCAACATCATAATAGAAAATCAAAAAAAAGAAAAAAGAAAAGCAAATACAACACAGGTGTCACAGAACGCTCGACGACGCCTCCTCCTGGTTTCACCAGATCCCTCTCTCCTGCGTATTAGGACTTCATTTCCCATTATCCTTCCCTGCTCATTATCTCCTGATTAATCACCCCTTCATTGCATCAGTATCACCTGTGTACCCTTAGCTCCCCTTTATCTGGTCTGCTCTGTTCATTGTTCATTTGTGAAGTCTTGTTTTACCTACACGCTGTCTCTAGCTCGTTTTATCTTGTTACTCTGATATTTTGACTTGGACTCTGATCTCGTGTTTGAACCTTTGCTGCCAGCCCCTGACCTTTGCCTGTTTTACGTATGATTCTTGGATTGCCCTAACCAGTGTGCTGTGTTTGAGTTTGCTGCTGCCCTTGCCACGGGCTTTTGAGTTTTATGACTGCTTTCCTTTGTTGGCTTTCCTGTATCAATAAATTACTGCAAATGGATCCGTCCACCTCAGCCTCTTCGTCACAACAGGACTATAACAAACATTTAGATACATTGACATTCACATACATACACACTCTAACAATACTCCCATAAACCTTGTCCCTTCCCTTTGGCCCATACAATAATCCAAGAAAACAGTGAACCATCTGCGAAAATGCAAATACATAATCAAGGTATAAATATGCATACATACATCCATAAACCCGTACAGATATATAAATAGAATAGAAATAGATACAATAAAAAAAAAAAAAAAATAAAAAAAAAATCAGAAACAAGAACACAATGTATCAAAATAAGTAAAAAGAGATGATTTGAAACCATAAAAAGAGGTTATAGATCTGAGCGAGCAGGGAAGATTGGTTTAAAAGCTTTAAATTTAAATGAACGATGACCTATTTCTTTGCTAATTCTGGGTGTATGAAAGAAAAACTGTTCCGTACGCCTTAAATTGTACTGTGTATTAAAAGGAATTAAGTAATATTTCAGATATGAAGGGAAATTGAAATGAATACATTTGAAAATAAGTAGTGTCCAATGGAATTGCCTTCTTGACTTGGGAGCCAGCCAGTTCAAAGACTCGTACATCTGACAGTGGAGAGTTCTGTGAGGACATCTGAGACAAATATACAAACACTGTTATTTAGTACAGAGAAAGGGCGAAGATTTGAATCTGAGGTGTTCCCATATGTAGCATCAGCAGAATCAAGTATTGGAAGTATCAAATGAGTAATAATTCTTTCCCGAACCTGTTGTGAAAAGCAATCGGCAGAGCGGTAAAGTGACTTCAATTGACCATTTATTTTCTTGCAAATTGAGTTAAAGGAGTAGTTCACTTTTAAAAAAACTTTTGCTGATAATTTACTCACCCCCATGTCATCCAAGATGTCCATGTCTTTCTTTCTTCAGTCGAAAAGAAATTAAGGTTTTTGATGAAAACATTCCAGGATTTTTCTCCATATAATGCACTTTACTGGGCAGCAAACGGTTCAAGGTCCAAAAGACAGTTTCAGTGCAAACTGTTCAAAGGGCTTTAAACGATTCCAGACGATGAATAAGGGTCTTATCAAGCGAAACGATCGCTCATTTAAAAAATAAATAACAAAGTTTAAGTTTTATAAGCTCAAATGCTCGCGTCGCTCTGTTCTGTGTAACTCTCCTGTTCGAACTCGTTCATCAAAATGAACAAATCTTTTTTCGAGTCATTTGATTCATTTAACGACCGAAATGAATGACCGAAATGAATGAATTGACTCGGAAAAAGATTAGCAAGATTGCTAAACGACAGTGAGCACAACTGGAGCTACATGTGTAAACTCTAACTTTAGTCTGCACAGCAGCAGTTCATGTGGACCAAACTCTAGCTCGTGTTTCATAGCTTGAACAGAGTTTTCAAAAACTCTACACACTTATCCCATGACTTTAACCACAACCTGCACAACACTGTGGATTTACAGCACTTTGTTCAAATGCTAACACACTGCTGTCAAAACTGTGAACCACACATTCAAAACAGAATAGAGCTCAGCCTTGTGCCTTTCAAACACTGACTGCAGTTTCAGCTGAAAGGCTAAGCAGGGGCCCGTTCTTCGTACGTTGCTTAAAACATCCGAGATCAAACGAGACATCCGAGATAATATCATCGTGCTCATCATGATCCGGCTAATTAGGTTCTTCGAACACTCATGCCGGTTATGATTAGTATAGCTGGATTGGGTTATCTGAGATAATTGCGCGTTCATGCGCTGGTTTAAAAGGGGATATGTATCGATAGTAAGTAGAAACATTGATCAGCAACGCTGCTATTGGCTGCTCACCGTGGCCAAAGAGCGCGCTCAGTTTTACTCTGCAGCAGAGCAAGAGCTATTGCTAGAAGGATATGCTGAATTTGAAAACTTAATTAAATTTTCACCTCAAATGTGCAAAAGCCAGGAGAGAGGGCTGGCAAAATGTAGCAAATTAAGTTTGTAGTGACCATTTAGATGTTTTTATCACTTATTACAGTAGGCCTATATATTTTTGTACTTTAATAATTTCTAAATAATTAATAACTTTGTTCATTGTAATGTCAGAGTCACCACCCACTACTATGGGAACAAGTAAAAGTGAAGTACTAGAATATTCTACATAATGGTCATTTTGTACTTAGTCTCTTTTAAAAAGGCACTGTTAGTGTTAAAGGTGCCCTAGAATGTTTATTTTTTTATTTTTTTATAATGTTTCCTGGGTTACCCTTATAATGTTAGTATGTTTTTTAGATAAAAAATAATCATAATTTAGAAATAAATGGCATTTTTCCTAGCCTGCTTTTAGCCTCTGATTTGAACGCTCTGTTTGAAGGGGCGTGTCTGCTGTGGGATTCAGTGTAACCGCGGCCACTGCTGTGATTGGCTGTGGGATTCAGTGTAACCGCGGCCACTGCTGTGATTGGCTGTGGGATTCAGTGTAACCGCGGCCACTGCTGTGATTGGCTGACATGCTTGCATATGAAATAGCAACGCATTACATGTGAAACTCTCTCCCGAATACTTTTACTACTGCTATTATACGTTTTTACTATAACAGCTATCGAGATTAACGAATCGTGAGATGTTTTTAAAGTATTTAGATCTATTCCCATCACATAAAATGTTGCCTTGATGAGCATTGAGCAGATGACAGTGTTGATCGCGAGAATGAAGATCTTATCATTGCAAAGCAGTTTCTGCACTCTCTCTGCTTTCACCAATGCAAACACGATGATGTAAATACAGTAAGAGCTTCGTTGTGCAGTAACGTGCGTCATTGATTTCATAACGAGTTTGGCAAGTGTCCAGATAAACTCGCGCTGTGTGGAAAGATTGTTCTTTGATCGCTTTCTGTATATAATTTGTTCAGAATTTAAATACGATTATTTTCATCCTACTAAAAGAAACGATGTGAAGCTGATATTTTAGTCACTGGCTTGACTTACTGATGCATAAACAGTATTGAACGATTTTGAGAGAAAGATTACCTGTCTGAACTTGAACAATTACACATCAGAAAGTGTTGCTTGGTAGCTCGATCCGAGGCCAGCTCTGTATTGGCCCAAGTTGAGGAAACACTCGGTGAAATGTTTGGAAATTTCCAGAGAAAATAAAATTAACCCATTGTTTCTTCAGAGGCTCAGATGAAGGGACTAAAAAATACTTTTGTGTTCATGTGTACATCCACACTGAGCAACTGCCATGCTTCGGCTGCGCAGTTCCGCCTGGCATTGAGGGCTGGCATTATGCAAATATTTGGAGGCGTACATATTAATGATCCCGACTATTGCGTCACAGTCGGTATTGTGTGGAGAACCGACCGTTTTTCAGGGGTGTTTTTCATAAACGTGAATTAAATGAGAACGCGAAAACAGTCCAGTTTGAGATTCACTCTATGTCATGTCCATGCACTGAACTCTTGTTATTTGACTATACCAAGGTAAATTCAATTTTGAATTATAGGTCACCTTTAATAAATGTTTGCCTGTTTATAAAAGCAACCAAGAAAAAGGCTGAGAAAAAACGAAAAGAAAAACAAACAGGTGGTGGTCCTGCACCCCCATATTATACCCCGGCAGAAGAGCTGGCCCTTGGGTTAA